GCTTGGCTACATAAATAATAACTGAAATTCACTTCTGCGTGCAGACAGTAATGGACTGAAGCGCCCACTTATAAGTTACCCGGCTGAACAAACGTCTACTTTTTTTTTGCAGCCTGTCAGCAAGAAACTGTTGAGGTGGTTGGATCTCATTTTGTTTCAGACTACCAGCGGAAATTATTGCTATTAATTTGTCTCTCTTGATGTCTCTCTCTTGCCTTCCCCCTGTCTGTCTCCCTCCTCCTCCACTTCGTCTGACCGTCCTCTCTAATCAGGCCTGGATTTGCCTCACTTCACTAGCCACAAAAGAAACTCGTAGCAGAGAGGACGGAGGAGGGAACCACAGAGGGGTAGAGGTTAGAGGAAAGATCATAATTGGGATGACATTTTCTACCAATACAAAAAAAAAGAAAAAGAAAAGAAAGAGAAAAGACACACAAGACCCCTGGTCTAATAATGGGATGGGTGTCCATACGCCACAAAAGGTCACATTTCTTTTTCTGTCTGTGTGTTTTGTGCTGTTCTCTGCTCCGTCCCTTAGTTAATATAATCAATAAAAACACATAAACTCCTCACAATAGAGTGGGACAAAATGTGAAGTGAAGATGATGGGTGCATTTGTCAGGAATGTTTTTCATAAAAAGAAAAAAAAAAAACCTAAATTGTAATGCTGGTATGCCTGGATAGAGTATCATCAAAAACAAAGCAGGTTGATTTCCCATCGCTCTCCTTAGAAGCGTCCATGTATGTTTTACAAGTGGATGAATGAGACTAATGTTAAAATGGAAACTGACATTTACAAGGAAATCTAAATGAACTGCAAATTTGAAACATTTCTCAGTATTCACCCTGTCTCTATTCAGGTTCAACTTTAGAAGCAGTTCCAACCCTATGTGCCAGTGGACAGAGCTCAGCTTTGCTCATCTGGACACTAAAATCTTTCCTTTGTTTTACCACTGAAGACCTGTGAGGTTGCAGATGGTGAATCTTTTTCATTTTTAACCACATTCCCACATGCATTGGGTTCTGATTTAGCCACTGCAGAACATTGTTGATTTTCAGCTACAGTGCTCACTTGTCATGTACACGGTTGCCCATAAAGTTGAAATGAAACATATCCTCTTTTACCTCTTCTCATGAAACGATTGTGACAGTGCAATTTGTTCTTGATTGATAGTGGAAGTGTATATCTTCTCAAAACTTTATTGATATCACATACAATACATATCACAGTAAAAGTTAAACAACAGTTAACTTTTGCAAACTGTGTCTTCAGGCTTAAACTAAATTGGGATATAGAACAATAGGATTAAGGGTTTTGTTTCAATTTTTCAACCTTGCTCAATTCAACAGGAAACACATATTCGAGGGGATTTCTTGCATAAGAATGTCCAATATTACTCTTTCAAATGTCCCTCAGTCACTAATGTTGAGTCTGGCCTCCCCTGACACGGATCAATGTGTTAGGACATCATGGCATACTGTCCACAAGATTGTTGATGGTGTCAATAGGCAGGACGTCCCACTCTTGATCATGAAGTCAGAATTGGTTTCACCTGGTAACTATGTAACTGGTCAAAGTGATTACTGATGTGTATGAATAGAAATAAAAAGAGGTACGTGTCTGAAAATGAAATTTATTCCAAATGGATGGTGTACGGTGTATTTACATTATAGTCAACTGAAGACACCTTGATGGAGGTAATCTCATCCATCCATCCATTATCTATGCACCACTTAATCCTCACTAGGGTCAGTGGGGGGGCTGGAGTCTATCCCAGGGCTACACTTAGAGACAGACAAACAAGCACACTCACATTCACACCTACGGACAATTTAGAATCACCAATTAACCTCAGCATGTTTTTGGACTGTGTGGGAGGAAGCCGGAGAACCCGGAGAGAACCCACACTGCACGGGGAGAACATGCAAACTCCACGCAGAAAGATCCCGGGTGTCCTCAACTGGCAACCTTGTGAGGCGACGGTGCTAAACACCGATCCACTTTGCAGCCCGAGGTAATCTCAGTTAAGGCCAATTTAAGCTTTTTGCCAACGCATGTCCTCAATGGTGCACGTGATGTAAATTCTGCCATCTGCCCAAGTCCACACAGACCCCTCTGCAGACGTCCATGTATGTCCCAAAATTTGTGACCGCGTGGACTTTATGCAATCCAAGTGTGCTGACTGCACATGTGCCAGAAAACAAATAGTCCTCAGAACAAATGCTTGTTTTGTGGACAGACTGTGCGAGGAGATTCTCCACCAAACCTGCTTTTATAAATCGTTATTAAAAGAGTTATAGAGGGTGGTACGTGCTTTCCATCGACAATTCCCAGACATAGTGGAAGGTTCTAAATTCTCTAGAAATCCCACGGTAACTTTGACCACATTAGAAATAATCACATTGACGCAGTGTTCAATCTGTAACAAGCTGCACTTTCCTGTAAAAAGTGCAAAGTCACAGTCTTTCAGAAACATCCACAGGAGTGTGTTTTTCTGTGTTCGATATGAGGGGCGATGACACCGATACCTACTGTAGCATGAACAGAACCTCGTGCACGCCTGCTGTCTGCTTTCAAAGTCTGCATTGGTATGCACCATGGATACAGAAACCACGGATTGCCCTTTAGACAAATTTTGTGACTTTGAAAACCAGCTGACTGCACCATTGCTGATTGAGCTGTGTCCAAGTGAACAGAATTTTAAAACGTTAAATCCCTTTGACATTAACGCGTCTGTTTACGTTGATCAGAAAGTATTTGGATCTCCTTTGATTCGGCGTTAGTAATCAATAAAACATGAACATTGACTGTGCTGTATGATTTGCATCATCGCCAATCCAAAAAGCAAAGCAGCTACAAACTCCTGCACAATGAGACAAACACACCTACGACGCTGCAGTCTGGATTTAATTTAAGACATTGATATGCGCATTTGTTAAACTTTAAGTTGTAATTTTCTCCTCTTTAAGTTGATGTGTGTTTATATACGTGTATGTGTGGGGCTGCTGCGTGTGTAGAATGTGCAAATGCGTTAACCAAAAAGGCTCCTTTCGCTGCACATCAGTGGATGATTGGCTCCCTGTGGTGTATCTTTGATTAGCCGGATAACAGGCTTCTGCAGCAGCTATAGAAACCGTCTGAGAGGCTCTGTCGCTTTCTTTTCCACCTCTTCCTCTGTTCTTTAAAGACCGCCGCTCTGTTTCTTCTTCCTCTCCTTCTCTATTTCCCTCCGTACATCTGTCACTCGCCTCTCTTCTCCCTCGCTGCTACGCTGGTTCCCTAGTTTAACAAGCTGCCAGGGGACTTAGATGAGAGTACACCCAGAAATTTGTTGAGGGGATCTAAACAAGGCATGATTCATCCCCAGATGGCTCCATTTCTATATCTCCTTTTCAGACTTTTGAATTTTGGAAGCTATAATGCCTGTCTCCACCATATTTTAGATTTTATTTTTTGTCTACCTGATGATGCAGTCCTCTTGGAGATCACTTTAAAATGTGACGGCTCGCTATGCTTTCTAAGACGGGTAAAAAAAAAAGGAACATCCAGTCTGAATGATGTAGGCTGCCAACTTGAGCGTGTTGGTTTGAAGCGATCTTTACTTTCGTAGAAACTTTGTTCCCCGAAATCCCATTGTTTGTCCATTCAGGTAGTAAACTCATTGTTTCCGTGCAGCGTTTTAGCTCAAGGATATTTCAAATTCAGATGATGTGCTGTCTGCCTCCATTTTATTACGACACAATTATGTTTTGTTCACGTTTATCGCTCCAAAAAATGTGAGAGAAAATTCCGTTTCTTGTTCGTGCACGCACGATGAAGGTGATCAGTGATATTTTGAACTAATAAAAGCCGTTTGTTTAATAGGACTTAATGAATTTGCTTCTAGCTACATGTGAGAGTCAACTTCTGCCAGACTATCAGACACTCCCTGAAGTCGTTGCAAGACAATGAAAAGAAAAGACTGCTCTTTTGTTGGTAATGTTGCTTTGAAAAATGTGTTTATCAGTATTTTATATTATTATTAACAATGGTTCAAATGACTAGGTGCACTTGAAAGAAGTCACTCTGGGTAAAAAAAAATAAAAAATCCCGCAGAGAATTATCCTAAGACTGCAGCTCTACAGAGACTTTCAGCATCTGTCAGCTCATTGTTTTTGTGTTTTTCAGCCGGCAGCTTTTTTCCGTTTCATTGTGAAATGCTCTACAGGTTCATTATCACTCTCATCAGCATTGTTTAAGCTTCGAAAAACCAACCTTGCTGTCCAACCTGAAAAGGGCAAAGTTAGTTACGAGCTGTATATATATATAGTGCAACATTTATCTGCTAAAATTACTTTCTTTTGGAGTTGGTAGAGAGCAAAACAGAGCTACAAAAAAAAGAGAGGGAATATTCAACTTGTCTTCATGAAGCGCTCCGAACATGACTCGAAATGAACAAGAAGTTTTGCCATTTTAGCTGGAAAATCTAATATGTCAGTGTTGTCACCACCTGATTTTACTGCTTTACAGTGGCTGAATATTAAATACAAGCCGGTGTTCATCATATATTGTGTTATTCAAGGGGGCTCCTGTGTGTTTTTGTTTGGTGGGAAGAGGTAAATTACATCCAAGTGCATTCTTCTGATTATTATCTAATTGCTGGCATTTTTACAACACCCTACAATTAGACACCAGAACGAAGCGGGCTGAGGCAAAGCAGTGTGCATAAATTACTAATGTTGGAATTGTTGTAATAGAATGGCAGGCAGAAGTAGCCGACATAATAGACTCTTCAAAAAGACACAATGCGGCTGCTTTTACACTACAATCCACTCATTTAGTATTTACTTGTTCGCTCATCTGTTTCATACCAAATCGCAAAAGTCTCACCTTCATGCACCATTGAACACTTTGCGTAATTGGTTGGACGCCTTTATCTGCTAATTCCTTCCATAATCACGTAGGATTTGGAACTATCGGTTATTAACCCTGTGCTCGTCTTTTTTTTTTTCTTCTGCAGGATTTCCTCACAGATTTGATGATGTCAGAGGTGGATCGCTGTGGGGAGAACGAGCAGCTCATCTTCAGAGAAAACACTCTGGCCACAAAGGCCATAGAGGAATACCTCAAACTGGTGGGACAGAAGTACCTGCAGGACGCTCTCGGTGAGTCATTTTCTGCACTCGAGTTTCTGTGTTTATCAGTTTGTTCATTCCTTCTCCTGCATATAGACATGTCTTCTGATTTCTGTTGATCCGTTTCATGCTTCTCACTTTTCACGTTCACCTCCGAACTCATTCATTCACTCACCAATGACAAATGTTTCTTCAGCTGCAGTGTCAGGTAATTTAATGTAGTGGGTAGAAGCAAACAGCAGTGGCATTAGAGATTAAATGCATTCCTCAGGAGTCATCTTGACAACTGAAGCGACTCCTCCATCATCTCAGTTTTTGTTTTGGAGGCGAACTGTGGACAACATAGGCTGTTGCGCATCAATAAGTGTGTAACAGTACATACAGTTTTCCCAGATGCACTGTTTGGTACATAACATTCCTCTGTTCAGCAGAATATAGACAATTACGGTCAAAGGTCTGCATACATGCGCTGCCAGAAGGAAATTCTAGAGCCCGAGTTCCACCGGGAGCGTTTTGGCAGCACACCAGAAGTTATCCATCAGCTAAAGGATGCTAGCAGAGTTCGCCTTGAAAGCTGAGTCGTGCCAATTTTATTGAAAATGTATGACGCGTTACTTCACGCTACACATTTTAATCAGGCCTTCCTGCTCTTCTCACACTGTACTGCTACCATCTGGAGCTCACGCTGACCGTTGGCACCGAGCTCCCACTTTCTTTGACCAGTTCCAGTAAAGTTTAAACGAGGTTAGCCGTGTCCCCCGTGCTGACAAAAAAGATAGAATGGCAGCGTTTTCTAGTTCTAAAGCTGAAATGGCACTGCAAGTTAAATATGAATGTGCTATACTTGTCTTAATAGACGTTTTTTATTTTATTTACTTTATGCTAGAGAGTACACAACTCAAGCTTTTGCTATTGACAGAGTGCCAGCACACGAGTACCTCAACTGTAACAATAAATAAGTCCATCTTCGGGTACTGATTAAACTCATCTGTGTGTGTCAAAGCTATAGATTCAGGAGCTTATTTCCTTTGAAATAATCCCTTCCCTACATCCCTCTCCATGCAACCCTCCTCACGCACTGCAGCTCAGGTACACCAGCTCACCTGCAGCTCTGTCCAACATTGTTAAACTACTCTTTGCCAAATTCTGAAAAAGAATAATAGTACAGAAAGCCCAACCCTGCAAGTTGACAGGATTGGTCCCGTAGGTTTGTTACGTATGAAACCCCGTCCATCCTCATCTGTGATTTTGAGACTACCAGTGGCACACCGCAGTTTCATGGTGGACAATGTTCTGCCACTTTGTTCATAATAGGTCTTTCAGCATATAAAAAGCACCATATGAACATGTCAACAAGGTAAAATATTTGCTTTTCATCCGAGAATGACAAACATATTTATTTCTCTGCTTTTTGTTGGTTTTCTACCAAACTGTGACTCCAAAAACTGAGCTACAAATCAAATTGTACATTTTGTGTACCCTTAAACCCCTATTTAAACCCCACCTGCTTCATCTAAACTGAAGCTGACTTCTAGGAAATTCAAACGTTGCCTTATGTGTGAACACCTAATATTCAGGAGGAGTAATTTAAACACAGACGCCGATGCCAAAGACAAAGCGGAAGGCGATGCATGAATACAAAAACAGTCCGGTTTTGTGTGGCTGTGACAGAATTTGTAGATATTACAAATTCCAAACCACTGACCAGATCAGCTTTGTGCAAAATGATGTACAAAAATATGTACAATGTTAGCCCAAGGTTAGATCAGGTGTGTTTGTCCAGTTCTAACAATAAGCACTCTGTATGCACTGTATGCTTTTCTCCCTCCCTAATTCAGAAATGTACACAGCAGCAGTTTAATCTACAAACGGCACACATCCTTTCTGGCACCCATCACTTCTTTCTCTGTATGCTTTCAATATTAATGCCCGATGCGTTTATGTCTTTCTCTGCATGCGTCTCTTTCTGGCCGTCTTTGCAAAGGCGGCCCGTTTCCTTGCATGTGTTTCTCACGGTCGATTCAGAGAGAAATCGAGGGCTGGTAAAATATGCATCACTGCATTGCGTTTATTGTTTGACGTTCGGTTAAACTATTAGAATCGCTGAATCCCAAGCAGGGGTAACACAAGGACAAGGCAAACTTCACTTTAGACCACCAGAGACAGAAAAAACACTCCTGTTCTCTTTTCATTAATACTGATTAAAGCAGAATAACAGTATCAGCTCCCTTAATGGGCTGTTTGCTTATTGAGGTCACAGCAGTGGCGGTTTGTCTTTTAGTCGAACTAACAAAAAAGAAATGTGTTATTGTTCGATTTTTAGTATTTTTTCTGCCATTGTCAAAAATCAAAGCAGAGATTGACTTTGAAAGATCTTCATTGGTGTTTTTCTTGCAGACACTGGTGGACAGTAACTAAATACATTTACTCATTTACTGTATTTAAGTGCATTTTGTAGGTACTTGTACTTTACTGGAGCATTTCCATTTTGTGCTGCTTTCTACCTCCACTCTGCTACACGTAAGAGTACAATGTGGTACTTTCTCCTCCACTACAAGTACATTTAATTCAGAGATTTGCTTATCTTAAGGATGAAGATTTTACATAGTGGATGGTACAACAAGCATTTTTTAAAGATTAAACCAGTGGTTTCTCACCTTTTTGGCTTTGTACAAAAAGCAGCGTGTAGTCAGGGTCACATCTCTACGACTTGTTAACAGCTCTACCAAATAGTGATTTTTTTCCCTCATCTTCTCAGACTGTTTCATTTCAATGAATGTTCAAATGATCCAATATTTCACCAAAAGTCAAGGAACAGGATAAAAATCTACAGACTGAAAACAGCATTTGTGTGTCAGGTCTTTCTGCTTTTCTGCCTGATTGATTTATCATCTCAAGATCCCTGTATCTGCTCTCCCCGTATATAGAACTACAGCTGACTTCTAGATACATTCAAGATGCTTTAATATTTAAATCTTGACTTATAGCATGGTGAATAGACAACGCTTGTAGCAGTTGCACTTTACTGGAGGTTGAAAAGGATTGCACTAAAGTCACTTCATGCACTTTACAAATCACTCTGGGCACTGTAGATAGAATACTTATAAAAATAAATAAGTAAATGAATAGCTGCTGAAAAGTTGATTAAAGATATTAAGAGTAAATATGTTAAAATGTGATTTAAAAACGCCTCTTTTAGAAATGCAGTAGAAGTTCATTTGGTTCATGATTTGGCAAAAGGATTAATTAAGTCATTTGCTTCCATGTTAATTATTGCGAGAACTGACAAATATAAATTGAATAAGGTAACATTTATGCATGAGGAAATGTCTGCTACTGTTTGCCGTGGATTGTAATAACATGAGCATTTGCTTTTGTGTTTCTTTTTCACCTTCTTGCCTTCTTGGCTCATTCATCCGCTTGCCAACATGTTACTTACTACCTGCTAAACTGCAACAATAAACAAAGATAAAAAGGCAACTGTTTGGTCATTGAGTGGAATCCAGCTCAAGTCTGGGTAGATGAGTCATCCCTTTTCAAGTGGGGAACTGCACGTGTTAAATCCGTCCTCGATTCACCAGTGAAAATAGCTGATCATTGGAAGAGGAGGAAAACACTTGACAGAAGTAGTTATAGCGAGCTCTACCTACAGCGGCTATGACGCTAACATGCTGCTGACACACTGTTAATGATATAATAATCATTTATAATAATCTATCAGTCATAGGTGGTAAGCTAGTGCTTTAAAAATTGTTGATTTTATTTCTTTAACTAAGTTTTGCTGCTGTGTCATTTTACTCAAATATAATTTTTCATACAGGGCTTTCACTTGCAGTGAAGTTTTTCTCCATTTCTGTATTCATACTCTCACTTAAAGGCTTTTACAAGGAAATGTATCAACATATCTCATCCTTAATTCCTCATATATTTCTTAATTTTTGTGTTTTTTGTTTTCCAGGCGAGTTCATCAAGGCTCTGTATGAGTCAGACGAGAACTGTGAGGTCGATCCGTCCAAATGTTCATCGGGTGACCTGCCAGAGCACCAGAGTAACCTGAAAATGTGCTGTGAGCTGGCGTTCTGCAAAATCATCAACTCATACTGGTGAATACTGGAGCTTTTTTTTTTTCTGTGTGTTTCTTTTTTCAACATGTTTTACAAATTGTGTTTCTAGAACTACACAACATAAGCACGGGTTCATAAAATCCACCCTTACATTCTAATCTAATTCTAATTGCACACGTGTAGCATCAAAGAATTTACAGCATCAAAATCCCCTGTTGCATACGCCCTCTTATATAAGCAGACCTTTATTCCGAGGGATCTTAATCACAATTAAAACGCTGCTATTGAGGGAGCTTTTAATTAGGTAGAAGCAGATGTCAGTTATAACAGACATCTGTTGTTCAGAGCTTTGATATGTGAGTTTTTGAAGCAACTTGAGGACTCAAGAACACTCAAGGGGTTCTTTACTAAAAGTCAACAAACAGGACACTTATTTGAGCACCTTACTCCTGCTTACAGGGAAGTGTCAGTCACAGACAAGGATTTCCTCATGCATGGTTTGTTTTGTTTATATTACGTCCAATAGTAATTAACACAACATTAGCAACCAGTTATCTTAAATAGGGATGAAATGCTGCTAGTTGATGTACATGAGTAAAAACACATAATAATAAGATTGCAGAGCCAATTGATAAGTGCACAGAAAGATTTTTTAAGCTTTTAATTAAATACGTATTGGTAACATACACAAATACGTACCTTAAATGCTTTTTTTCTAACAGTACCTGTAGCAGTGCTGGTTGAGAAAATAAAAAATACAGCAGCCTACCAGGAAAAGTCATTGATCGCTATCTTCATCTTCCTCCTGCGCACTAAAACCACTAAAGTCGTCTTCTTCAGTGTCTGAATTGAGCAGCCTCAGAATTACTTGCTTTACTCTCGCTCTCACTGTATTACACACAAGTCCAAGATCACCTTTGGTTTTTCTCTCACACCAATATCTCTCTCATCTCTGATTCTCGACAGTGTTTTTCCACGAGAACTGAAAGAGGTTTTTGCATCGTGGCGGCAGGAATGCAGCAACCGGGGTCGACCGGACATCAGCGAGCGTTTGATCAGCGCTTCTTTGTTCCTGCGGTTTCTGTGTCCAGCCATCATGTCCCCCTCGCTGTTCAATCTGATGCAGGAGTATCCTGATGACCGCACGGCACGCACGCTCACGCTCATCGCTAAAGTCACCCAAAATCTGGCCAATTTCACCAAGTAAGTGTCTGGGTTTCAGTTGTTTGTCTGAATCAAAGGAACACCTTCTCTAATATAGTTCTCGGTTATAACTCTGCGTCGCTCTTTGTCCCCGTCTCCCTTCTCTGCCTCTGTTTGCAAACAGATTCGGTAACAAGGAAGAGTACATGTCCTTCATGAACCTGTTCCTGGAGCACGAGTGGACAAATATGCAGCGCTTCCTGCTTGAAATCTCAAACCCAGAGACAATCTCGAACACAGCAGGCTTTGAGGGCTACATCGACCTCGGCAGGGAGCTCTCTACTCTGCACTCTCTTCTTTCTGAGGTGGTCTCACAGATGGACCAGGTACTGATGAATACATACTTCGTTAGCTGTCATAAGGGCTTTTCTCTCACTCAGCTTAGTTGCTTCATTTCTTTATTTGTGCATAAAATGAATATAAGTGTCTCAGATCCACAAGAGTAGATTTTAGTTGTAACTGAAACTACCTAATGTGGGAGTTTCTATCAAAAACGCTGCAGCACAGATAATCTTCAACAAATAATTAGACATTTTGACTTCCCGACAAACTAGTTTTAACTAAATACAGAAATCTCTGAAGATATAGATTCATACATATAGGTTTAGTTTTAATCAGAAACGATGAAATCCAGCTGGCCAACAAAGAGCCCAGGGTTTTCAATGCATTAACACAAGCTTCAGGATTTAAATCATGCTTTGACTACATCAGGATGTTTATCCTACATCAATCAATAATTTATTATTGCATTACATAAACAGCGCACAAAGGGAGAACACTGTGAAGCCTCAGAGGCTGGACGAGGCATATTAATAGATTTACAAGGACGTTTACATTCGTTCTGGTAGCAGATGGAAAGCATGTGGTGGCAGATTAATGATTTTTTTCTTCTTCTTTTCTTCTTCTTTTTTATATTTATTTTTATTTTTTTTGTACATCATCCAGCTCTCTGAAATCTTGTCTTTCAATAATTTAGAAATCACAGTCTGGTTGATACTCCAGTCCATCAGACTGGCCAGCCTTTTTCATTATTCAGTATGTTATCTGAATAAGAGAGTTGATTGCATGGTGCGGGGGAAAATAACTTGGTCTAAAAAATATGCAAATGTGAAATTAACCAAACAACACTTAAATGAAATCTAATTAATGCCTCAGCTGAAGTGGTCCGGAGTAATATTTAATTTGGCTTAAACCTAATTGTGTCTCTATCTTCGCAGAGTGCAGCCTCTAAGCTGGGTCCTCTGCCCAGGATCCTGCGGGAGGTGAACACTGCCCTGTCCAACCCGTCCTGCGTCCAGATGACACCCGGACAGTCCTCGGAGCATATGGGCTCGCCTCCTGCTGAGGCCAGCTGCAGCATTTCCACGGGTCTGCAGAAGATGGTCATAGACAATGACCTTTCAGGGTAAGAAGTATTCCGATTTTTATTTTTTTTTACTTACCAACGGTCCTTGACCTACTCGTCTGTGACGTGCCGTTCTGCAGAAAAACTTGAAAAAATCTAATCTTACATTTGAGTTTTTTTCTGGCAAAATTATTTTCCTCTGTGTCTCATTTACAAATCTGCCAAAAATCAACTATTTGCAACAACCAGAATCTGTAAAATACTGGATAAATCTGCACTCGTCAGCTCAAACATAAATCCATCAGTGACTCAACTGCATTCAACAGTCACGTGACCAAAAAATCAGGGACTATTTGACAGGCTGTGCTACATAGAACAGGTAGAGAAGTATAGAAAAAATCAAATGTATATGGTGAAATATGCATAGTATGTGGAGTCACCGTGTTTTATTCAAGTATTGGTAACAACTCTGGGCACTGGGACATGTTGATTACAGGATTTGGGGTTTTTTAACTGTAAAATGAAGAAACACCTTTTCTTTTTTTTAAAGATTTATGGCATTAATATGTTGTTATACTGCACAAAAGACATTTTGTAGTTCTCTATACTTGTAGCCATGACGGTGTTGTTTCCATAGAGATCAGGCAGAACTTGTACAGGGAAACATAGTAAGTAAAAAATGTCAAATGCTTGGGCTTTAGAGGGCTAGAAATCTCATGGTATACCCAATTAATTTGTCTATTAATATGTACAAATGACACTGTTTTTTAAAATGAGTTTTAAGCAAAAAAATAATGTAACTGAAAGATTAGAAGATGCTTTGAAAAGATCAAATATTTTGGGGGTGTCAAAATCTATGCTGAAGATGTTCTTGTTCACGTCGCATGTTAGTGGTTTTAATGTTGTGTGTGATTGTGCTGACATCAATGGCAACGCTGTCAGTTGTGCAAATTGAGAATGGGGAATAATTCCTAGTTCCGGTAGTCCAAAAGTAGTTTGGTGGGGACCAAAAAACAGGGCTTCAAGAGAGAGAAACACAGAAACTCCAAGCGATTGACAATGCTCCTCTGTAACTGCTGGAAAAGTTATATTTACATTTTTTTTCCACTGTGCCAAGTGTCAAAAAAAAAGTTAATGCAAGTTTAAAGTGAAATAAATATTAAAAAGTATATGTTTAAAAATAGCAGTCTATATTTAGATAATAGTTAAAACTTCAATACCCTAATAAATCTTAAAATCTTGTGGGACAGCGCTTCAGTTTTTCGAAGGTTGGATAACACGAAATCACAGCCAAAAACATGTAGTGCAGATATACCTGAGATTATTTACAGCCTTTCATTATTTATGTACTCTCCAGCCCACTCTGTACTGTACCCTGGTGCTCCGAGCTTATTGCCTTTACTGCTAACACCAGCAGCCTGCTCTGGACATATTTGATTACAGGGAGAGTCTGGAATTGATTTAGAGATAGGCTTCTTGCAGGTAATAGATCAAGCTGCAGAAAAGAGACTTTTACACAAAAAGGGCAAAGAAGCCACCGCTGTCATAGTATCTTTCACTCTGATTTAATGCGTCATTTGTGTTTTTGTGCATCGTTGCTGATGCCAACAACGATTCTGTAAATCTGTTGTTTTTCACCGTCAGCTGTATTGTGTTCTCACGCCACCAGTTTTGCTGAGTGTTAATGTTTGTCAGGTGAGGCCGTGACACAGGGAGAGTGTCACCTCTGTGTGTTTACATCAGCCTTATGAAACCTCGTTTACTTTCCAGTGGATGAATACACACTCTGACAGCACCTTATCTTGCTTATCTCCTGTCCCCTCACTCCCTGGCAGAACAATGCCAAGGTGACACTTAGAAAGATTAACGCGAAAGCAGCGGGGCCAAAAGGAGAAGAGATATATGAACAATATCCTGAGGAAGTAACACCAGTAAACACACCACTGTCAGACTTCAGGAGGACAGATGGAAACCTAGTGTACTTAGGGCGGACTGATTAATTGTATTAGTCACAATTTCAAACAGGGCAGGTAGCAAATCACAAAGGCTACAACTACGACTCAGGGTTTAAACTAGAACCCAGCAGATTGGACTGATACCAATTTTTGGAAGTAAGAAATTCTGATATTGATAAATCTGCAGATATTGTTAACATATATGTTATATTGAAAAGGGAAAATAATGGTGCCATTGTTTGATAAGTTTTCAGCAGTGTATTTCACAAACTTGTTACCTGCTTACCATGAAGACACCACTTTGCTCCGCACCACCACCTGCTCAGCTCTGATACATACTCTGCTACATGTGCTGCAGGCCTAAACAATAAAGTTGTAGCGCACTCTGCTGGACAACCTAAGTAATAGCAGCATTTAAATGATCTTAACTTCCAACTGATTGGCTCTAACTTAAACTGCTACATCAATGATTTTTAAAAATTCATGGCGTCCTCCCCGTGCAATGATTACACTTTTGATGCTGTCTCACAGGGTGACGCTCCATCACATTTGAAATCTATTACACAGTGAAGATTGAGCCGAAGCTTCATCAAAATTGCATTATCCGTCAGAAAACACCGCAATTAGGTTTTTTTTTCCCCAAATGGTTCAGCTCTACTGTAGATAACAGAAAGATGAGACAACAGGAGACACAGGAAGAGAGTCAGACAGCTGGTATCATTATGCTCATCAGGCCCCAGGATCAATAGAACTAATTAAGTGTTGTCCCTATATGACCTGATGTCAGAGCCAGCCCTCGTTACTTTATCACAATAACTGTTTGCTCACATATTGACGCGTGCGCGCGTGCGTGTCCATGGCGCATCCTCATCGGCGAGCTGTGAGGCTGAATTCAAATGAGCTCGCCATTCTGCCTTAATTGCTTCTCATCCACTAACCAGTGACATGAAACGCAGAAGAAAAGAAAAAGGAGACAGTGCCAAGATTTGAGAAAGGGAAGAAATTGAGCAGAATGAAGGGGAGAAAGAAGTTAAAGGAGGGAAGGGTAATGGAACCACGGAGAAGGACACAGATAGAGGGAGGAGATGAGCGTGATGTGAATGATAGAGATTATTGGAAGATAAGTCGCATCTGTCAAGGTAATCGTCTTCTGGCAGTGAAGCCTCCGTGTGCCGGCGGAAGGGACGGAAGAAAGGGAGTGGAGGGATGAGAGACAAAGCATCTGAGTGCACATACCCTCAAAAAACAATTTATTAGAGTATTTGGTTGTATTAGATTACTCCATCTGAACGGACTTGAAGCAAGATTATGTAACTTTTGGCAAGAAAATAAGCAATGAAATGCACGGCTGCTCAGTTGGGTATACTCTGCTACAGCCCTGTGATTAGTAGGTTGGGGTTGCTAATATTAGCTAAGCTAAGCTAGCAATTTGTAAGTAAATCTTATAAGACAAATTGCTGATTTGGTTTTCTGAGTGTATGACTCTTCTCCAATAGGTATAACTTGGTATTTCTTTGCTAAATATGACCAATATAAGTCTGTAATTTACCAGTGGCTTTTGTAGAAGACCACCTACAAGGAGAATCAAGTTTTTTTTACATTGTTAACATGTCCAGATTTTGTTCTTTATGTACCAAAATATACATCATGAGTGGAATAAGCAGTCAGCATAATTTCCTTCTTGAAACTGCAGGGTACTGATGACTGTCTTAAACCCACTAATTCCGACAGCCAGGGTTTCATATGTAACAAACCAAAGAAACCAATCATGTCAACTGTGAATGTTCTATATCATTATTGTTCTTCAGAATCAGAGCCCAGTATGGCTGAATTATTCCAGTATCTTGTCATTGTGTGGCAGAGTTGTAGGTGAGCTGGTGAACTCGAGCTGCAGCGAGTGGTGGAGGGGTGGGTAGAGCGAGATCATACATCCACACTTTCTAAAGGAGGCAATGGTATAGAGTTGCATTTGAGCCATTTTAAAGCATGGCAGCATTAATTTCATGTAAAAACAAACACACAACTGGATGATTTTTGCGGGTTATTCAATGGCCGGAGAGAATCTTACGAATCTTTAAGCAAAATCATTTGTTAAATCCTAATGTTGTGAAATATTTTGTGATATATGTTGCCGCAACACTGTTAGAAAAGAATAATTTTTAATCACTGTGAAGCTTAAAGTTGTTTTCTTTTTGGTCTCCTTTCAGATTGGTTGACTTCACCAGGTTACCCTCACCCACCCCAGAAAACAAGGACCTATTCTTTGTGACAAGGAGCTCAGGGATCCAGCCTTCTCCTGCACGCAGTTCGAGCTACTCTGAGACAAACGAGCCTGACCTGGGCATGGCCAATGGCAGCAAGAGTCTGTCCATGGTGGACCTCCAGGACCCCCGCAGTCTGGATGGTGGCTCAGGCCCCGGCTCCTCGGACGCCCTGGGTGAAGGCCCAGCTTCGGGAGGAGGCTGGTCAGCGAGAGTCCCACAAGGCAACATCCCTGGTGGTCCTACCTTGAGGAGGCCAGGCCAGACACCCACCACCCCAGGCACAGAAAGCACTCCGGGCCGACCCGCCCAGCTGCTAGCCCCGCTGTCCTTCCAGAACCCAGTCTACCAGATGGCGGCCTGCTTGCCCGTGTCCCCTCGCGGAATGACCGACTCCGGCTCCGAGTGCCACAGTTCTGTTAGTTCCCATAGCAACAACGAGGACGGGCCGCCGGGAGGGAAGCACGCCTTCTTGAACCACGGCGGAGGAGGCGGGAGCAGCGGGGACGAGTACACCAGGCGTTCAGGGGAGTTCAACCGCCGACAGCTATCCCTCACCGAAACGCAGCACCAGCCCACCGTCCCCAGACAGAACAGCGCCGGCCCACAGCGGAGGATAGACCAGCCTCCGCCTCAGAACATTAATCGAGGCCGCACACCCCCAAATCTGCTCAACAGCGGACCCTACCCCCGGCCCTCCTCTGGCAGCATGATGACATCCTCACCCGACTGGCCCGGCAGCGGGGCTCGGTTACGGCAGCAGTCGTCGTCCTCCAAAGGCGACAGTCCTGAGACCAAGCAGAGAGCTCAGCACAAACAGGTACAGGCTGAACACTGTGCGAGCCGCATGTGCAGCGTACATATCTTTAACCCGAGGACGGTATTCATTTGGTCATTATTCAAGCACTATAGCTGTCTCAGCCTATGTAATGACATGAAATTACAGTGATATTAAAAGTAGCTATTACAAAACGCCAATTTGTGTCATGGCATGTGCAGAGAAGCTGTGTGGGTGAAGTCACAGATGCTGCACACTGTGCCCTAATGAACTATAGTCTCAGTGTGTGTAATAATAGTCATTTGCATACAGGAAGCTCATCACTTCACCACTGTTTTACTGGTCAAGTTTAATGGGATGACAATGAGGGTGGTGGAGGCACAATTACTCTCCTATGCTCCCACGGCAACATAAAGCAGACCTCATGGGTACAAACACAACGCAGCATCTCGTCGGGTCGGTATATCGCTACGGGACGAATCTCAGTGAAAGGATTCCATTTACAATCAGCACTCAGTTTAAAAGCTCGGGACCATAGGCTGTAATCAAAAACACTGGTCAGTTGTTGCCCTTGGTGACAGGCTGAAGGGGAGTGCTTCTGCATATTAACCATAATGCCTTGCTCTCCACTCTCTTTAATAGTCCACAGGATTGCCTTTAGACTGAATGACTTATTGAAACCAAACCATCCAGTTTAATTTGTAGAGGAACTCAGCACATGCATTTATCCTTTGTGTTTGCAGCAGAAAAGCTCAAGTCCAGGGCCTTAAAGCCACTATATGTAGATTGTGGATGTGGTTGAAGTAATATTTAGAATTTGACCGATGTCAGCCTATATTGCCCTGTCACAGGTATATCAGTATCAGCATGTATGTTGTCCGATATGCGCCGATATGAAAACTTTATTTTTACATTTTTATAGAACAACAAATCCAAAATTTGAGCTAATTTAGAAACTACTTCATCGTATAGTTTGTCTGTCAGAGCAGCTCCCGCCGTTATTGTTTCAAATATTCTCAGCACTGTCTGCAGTGCATGTAGCAGAGTACGCATCACAGCTGAGACGACAGTGGTGCAGAGTCGAGCAGTGTTACAGAAAGCTTCTAGTTTGCGAAATACATTGCTATAAAGGTAATAAACAATGACCACATCATTATTTTCTTTTTTAATAGGGAGATATATGGAACTCTAGTAATATTGTTCATTGTCAGTCCACCACTGTGGTTCAAACTTAAATACAGAAGAAAAAAACATATACTTGTTGTAACTCTGTCACTTTTTGTCAGAGTTTTCACTCATCTGATGAAATATCTCAACACCGGCTACATGGGTTTGTTAACAAATTGGTGCTGTCTGCTTGTTGCTTTTAGCACTTTCAGCCAATTTACCTAAGTGGTTCAGATCTGTGTTTGGGGGAAATTGATGAACTCTGCATGGTAGCCTTGCTGAAAGTTTTGTTTTCTTTCCCACTTTAGTTTAATGGTATGGACAAAAGGTGAAGTAATACATTCTCTATTCAAACACCTGGCTCTTAATTGCAAATTCATGTGGATTCACTGTTTATCTTAATTGAGTTTGTTTGGACTAAGAGGGATTCTTCATGACATTATTGGTCATCACTCACTAATAAGGGTTCAAGCGGTTTAGGAAAGCTTTAATCATGTTTAAACCAAAGTTTCTTTCTTTTCTTTTTTTTCAAATCCTGTTTGGCCAATTTTCAGATATTCAGATTCAGAGACTTCAGCCTTTTCATAGGTCTTGAATGCAAATGAATGTGTTGGACTTTAAAAACATGCACATTTCTTCTCATTTGCTGCAACAGCCCGCGGCCACCTCTCCGCTCAGCTGTCCGTCAGATAGCCGGCAGATAGAAACAACGGACAACTTAACTGCCTGGTGTCAGCCTCCGGGGCTGATTTTAAACTCATTCATCTACTCTTACAGTATTTACCTTCCTTGCCGCTAGTATGACAAGGTGTTGCCGCTCACACACGTGTTTTTAAAAGAAAAATGTGCTTCAAAGTGTGTGCTACGGTTTACGTGTGAGCTTGAAGACTGGAGTGTGCATCCATTCCACCTGCTGCTTTTCAATCCAGATGAGTTGGTGCATTTCAAGCTTATTTCTGTTGTTTCTGTGGTGTTTTTGCAACCTCCCTCCTTCCCCTCCCCCTCCCTCCCCCTTCCCCGTCACTTGCACTCAGCTCATGCGTGTGCGTGTGTGTGTGTGTGTGTGCGCGTGCATATGTGTGTGTGTGTGTGTGTGTGTTGTGTTGATTTTACTAGGCCCCTTCCCCAGTGAACCCAAGTGCGCTGGACCGCACAGCAGCCTGGCTATTGAATATGAATGTGCAGTATTTAGACCATGAGGGGATGGAGCCCGAGTCACTGAGAAACAGAGAGGATCTAACTCAGGTGGAGAAGGTAACCTGCCATCAAAACCTCTGACCTTTACCAACCCCTCCTTTCACAAACCACCTCAACCTTCAGCCCTGATACCCCACTGAACTGTCCTTCCTTTCTTTACCACTCATTAGCTCCCTCATATACCTCCGTCTAAAAACATCCCTTCTGCACTTAATTATCCGTTATATTTATTCCCACTTTGCCCTTGCCTCTGAGCATGTTAGACATACCCAAATTGCCACGTAGTGCCATCCTGAGCACATTGATACATCAGAGCGAGGGAATTAGCATATAGTGCACATCAGTCCGATTGTGCACGTGACATTATAAATAATACATTTTTCACAAAATGGACTTTTTGGTGTTTATTTGTGATGGGCTTTTTGCCATTTCCACAACCAACAGTGAGCTCAAATGCAGGACAGTCATAGTAAAAGCAATAATGGCAGAAAGTAACAGGCGAATAATTATGAGGCTAAATATAGCCGGCAAGAACATTAGTGTGGTCCTCAGCAGGCATTAGTATTGAATATCACCACTAAAGCTGCACCAACTTCAGTAATCTGCTGATTATTAATTTTTCTTTTCACCCTCTGAACCCTAAAACCCATCAGCATGTTTGAAAAGCATGTTATCTTTGGAAAATCGCCAGAACGACACCATTTATCATAGCCGGCCTGTAAAAACAGAGAGAATTGGCAGCTTTCCCGATGATGCTTGAACCACTCATCTGTAATGTGATCAAATCTGAGCTTAAAATCCTGATATTTCATCAAAATCACTTTATTCTACATGTCTCGTTTTAAAAAATTTGCCCAAAATAAACCATTCGCTCCAATCAGATCCTGTAACAAAACGGAAAAATCTGCACTCCTTGGACTAAGCTGCTATGAACAGTCGAGGGTTTAGAGGCTTTTTAGTTTACACAGAGCAGATGTGAGACAAGTATGGCAACAAATTCTGTTTGTACGTTGGAAATTTCACCATGTATTTCCTGTTATTGGTAACACCTATGCGCACTTCAAAAATAGTAGTACATGTTGATTCCAGGTCTAGTCAATTTGTCTTAGTAAAATATTCTTTTTTTAACATTAATGACATTAATACTTTGTTATACTGCACTGAAGACGTTTTAGAGTTTTCTCTACTCGAGGTCATGGTTGTGCTGTTTCCATAGAAGTGCAGTGAAACATGAGCCACAGTGAGGAAAAATGCCCCTGCTTGGGGTTCAGAGGGTTAACAGGTTATTAGTTTGGCCTTTAAAATGACAAATAATAGTGATGGATGCCTATTATAACTTCCCACACCCCATGGTGGTGTATTAAGATGTCCTGTTTTACTCAAACAAAATTACAAAACCCAAATATGTTCAGTTTATTGCCATGAATGACAAAATAATCAAATTCCCATATTTGAAAACACATATTTGTTTTTGCAGTATTAAACATCTCATCACCCAGATTTGAAGGACTTAGCACACTGTGTACTACTAGTACCAACAGGGGAAAAAGAAAAAGTCTGTTTTAAATAGCTCGCTCTTCTCAGATCTAAATAAAGAATATGATCTTGGTATTATGTGTGCAGCAACACTTGAACTTTTACAGTGTTGGATGTTATCATTTTTACCCTTCTTCATTAACAAAATCTCTCTTCACCTTGAAAAAAAACTTCCCTTACAACTTTTCCTCTCTTTCCTGTCTTTGAAACAAACCAGCCCAAACGAGGTGTGTGTGTATGTGTGTGTGTATTCACATGCCGTACATCCACACAGGCGTGTTGTAGCTTGTGTGCGCTTGCATCTGTGTGAGAGACAGAGACAGAAAGAAGCTTTTTGCTGCTTCCCCTGCCTACGTTTCCCGCTTCTCTTCTCTGCAACCTTTACAACCATTCACCCTCGGCTCCGCTTCCTTGCTTTGGTTGGCTGCCACATGCTCGCCCGTTTCTTTTTTTTTTTTCCCATCCATAATGAATACAAACCTGTCATCCTAACATAGCTCATACTTTATGGAAGCCAGCAGCTCAGGCAGGGAGAGCAACCAAAGAAGGCAATAACTTCAGTCTTAACAAAGAAGCCGCAGCCACCTTAAAATAGCAGAGCAGCAACAAGAGAAGGACTGGAAAACACTACATCTTCCACAGCAGCTTGCACACAATCTGCAGCTAATGGTCTATACAGTTCTAACTATACAGGTGCAACAGCATTCATTTGAAATTCTCACATTCATTTACCTTCACTGTATATGTTGAGTCATTAATTACAGAATTACCAAATAGGTCGGGCGTTTGTCTTGTTAGGAGGAGCAATAAACTGGACCATCAAATATGAATAAATCAGATTGTTATATATATATATATATATATATATATATATGTGTGTGTGTAACTGCAATTATGAGATACTTAGTGGTTTGTTTTGTTTTTTCAGATAAAATCCTGTTTGAAATTAGATTCTATAATATAAGATGTGACTTTTTTTTATACTCGTCATCAAGATAACACAACATTTCAAATTGCTATAATTTCTGAAATCGCAAAATTTTGGTATTTTTTCTTATATTCTTTCTAAAAGACTGCAAAAAACACTCTTGCATATGTAATTGTTAGGGCCCAATTGATGTATCCATCGGCCATTATTATCAGCCAATATTGGCTTTTCACAGATATATTAGTATTGGTGTGCATACCTTTAGATATGCACCAATATAAATATCTCTTTTACGCAACATAATACAGAAAAAAATGTTTGGGATAATTTAGAAACAGTGTCATGACATATTTTGTCCAGCGTAGCAGCTCCAGCTCTATTGTTTACGAGCACCGTCTGCAGCACATGTAGCAGAGTGTGTATTACAGCTGAGCAGATGGTGGTGCGGCGTAAAGCCTTGTCTTAATTGTTGAACTACATTTAATGAAATTGCTGCAACATTATTAAACACTAACTCTAACATTTCTCGTTTTTAATATAATTGTAGCATATATACAAATATTATTGGCTGATACATTGATATCAGAATTACTTACTTACTCCCTAAAACCAGCACTGCCCCCAAACATCAAGCTCCAATAATATGGAAAATAAACTGCATGTAAAAGTAATATACATGCCAGTAATATTACTGAAGCTTCATTAATTAGAACACATCAGCTGTATCTGTCTAATTAACATGCTATCTCCCTCTATACATACATTGTATAACAGTCAGTCCCTCTTTAATATTTAAAGTTGGAGTCTTTTACTATTGTGATTTTTAATTCTGTTAGGTATTTGCTCCACCTCTAAATTCCCTTTACTTTAAGTTTTGAGAGGAGAATCCTTCATGTAATCTCTCTTCAGTACGACTTAACTGTGTCCTGTTGATGTTCGACGTTGGCGTGGATGGAAATCTAACCTATCTGGACTGTTGTCAGATGTAACATCAGCACAACAGGTGCAGCAGAGACGCATCTGTTCAAACCACCTTTGTTTTTCAACTCTCTTTTGTTCTGTTCTGCGTTATCAATATTCATACGTATTAATTATACTCTTTAGTCTGTTGAATTTCAAAAGCACATCTGCAAAGGACAGTTACAGTCAATGTGACGCTTGGAGATTGAAGTACTCAGACCTTCTTGATGGAGTAAAATACATAAATATTTAGTGAAGCTTGGTGTCGCAAAGGCGCAGGGTGTATTTCAGGGAAACCTTTATGAACATAAGTCGTACAAAACAAAATGAATTGTCCAAACTGCAACTTAACAGAATGTTACAAAAAATGAGCCGATGTAAGCAAATTTATTCTGAAGTGTTTAGATGTTTTGCTTCTGACCCTTCTGACAAAAACAAGGACACAAGGACAAGAGGAGGATGGGATTAATGTCTTTTATTTAAAAAACTGCGTGCAAGAAAAGGTTTGACGGCTTTTACAGCAGCTTGATTTTCTATGAGTGGACACGCTTTGTTTCAGATATCAAGAAAGGATGCAGGTAGGAGAAGAGAGCACGTATGGGATTTCGAGCAGAGTCGAGCGTTTGAGGGAGACCATTGTAGGGATCGAGGGGCAGAACAAAGGCACTTACAGATACAGTTGATGTCATTCGTTCTCAGGGGATCTCGTGAAAAGAGCATATGGATACTAAAGATGGAGAGAGGAGCGGAGAAAGGGAAGAGCAGTCGATAAGATAAATCTATTTGAGGTCACTATTCCCGCTGGGAAAGAGGAGGCTTGATGGGAAAATGTCCCAGTGGTTGGCATGAGAGTGACATGGGAGGAAAAAAAAACTGTACAAGGTGACAAGAAAAGATAAATGATCCCAGCAGCATCCTCACGGTTGAATCTGAGAATCCAGGATGCTCTGATAGTTTGTCATTCGCATCGTTCTCCATCTGTTACGACTGCAAGATAAAGACTTTTTGTTTAAAACACCTGGAAAGACGAGAATTTAATCAAGTGAAGCAAACCAATTATGCCGAAACGTAATGAACTGATAATCCTTTTTTAGCCACACAGTCAGTGCAGCTTGAGTGATGGCCCAAGCTGAAATAAATCAACAATTATTAGACGGATTACCAAGATAGCTGGATGTACCCAAGAGGATGAGTCCTACTGCAAACC